CATTACGGTAAATTAGGGCTTTTCTCCCTCTTTCTCAATATTGACAAAAAAGGCTCAAATACCAACAACAAACAACAATGACCTCATTTGAGACCCAAAATACATATGTATTGGCCCAAAGTACAAAACCCCTCTTTCATTTTATCAAATCAAATATAAATTAGGGCTTTTTCTTCTTTCAACAATGATATACTCCCTCCGTCCCAAAATATTAGTCCCTTATTCCATTTTTCATTGTCCCAAAATATTAGTCCCTCTTCAAAAATCAAGTACAAAAATAATATAAATTTCCTATTTTACCCTTCTTTTAAATTAATAAACAACATAAAAAGTACAATTATGCATTGATATTCTCAAAAAATGTACTATCAAAAGGATAATTTTGGAAAATCAACTTTTTTCAAATGCAATAATTATACTACCAAAAAAAGTTGGATTCCCCAAAAGGGACCATTATTTTGGGACGGAGGGAGTACTAATTTACACCCCAATTGGTCCAAACCACAATCAATGATAACAAACCCATTTTCAAACAACCAACCGTAGGTTCACCCTCATGATTTTCAAACAAACCCAACATGGATATGATTTTCATGCAATACAAAACTACCACATGTCTATCTATAGACGAAGCATTGTAAAAGAACAAGGAAATCCCTACCCCAAATTTGGAGCTCAAATGGAGAAGATGATGAAAACTCAAAGTGCTCCAAATCCCAAGATTTTCGGATGGAAATGTAGCTCAAGCCAAGCTCTACACTTTTTACAAAGACACCAAGGTAAGAGATCACTCAAACTAGATCAAACCCTAGTGATAAGTTGTGTTTTAGAGAGAGAGGCTCTCCAATGGAGGTTTTGAAAAGTAAGAGAGAGAAAAGGAGTTGAAAAAGTGATCCAAAAAGTCGAACTTCGGACTGATATACAAGTTGCCCCGCTCGAGCGTGGAACTCCCAGCTCGAGCGTCATACACAGGCTCACCTTCGAGCGTCAAAAGCGCCGCTCGAGCACCGGATGCACACTTTCAGAAGTTTTGCAGACCATGGTCCCCGCTCGAGCGTCAGACTCCCTGCTCAAGCGGTGGAACAAAAACGAAAGGTCTCGCTCGAGCGTCAAAACTCCCGCTCGAGCGTACGACAACCTGCAGAGACAAAATATTGGGAGATGAATATTCACGCTCGAGCGTCAAAACGCCCGCTCGAGTGGAGAAGCAACAACAAAGGGTTTGCTCGAGCGTTAAAATCCCCGTTCGAACGTGAAGACCAAAATCTGGGCATTAATGTTTGATTTCTAACACAACCAATCTGTTCCAAACCTGCCCAACACAACCAAAGACTCAAATACAAAGAGTAAAAGATGGAAATGAGAATAAGACAACAACATAATCACGAAACCAAGTCTGGAATGCTATAATCAAAGGAAAGGAAAAACCGGGATCGCTATAACCTTCCCCTCTTAAGGAATTTCGTCCCCGAAATTAAGAACACGCCAAAAGCACAAGGCCAATAGATCACACAGCACCCAACACCCGAGTACTAGGAAATAAACTATTCTCGCAACAAACCTGCGGTTAGCTCTCACCAAAAAAAAGGCTTACCAAGGAAACACGTTTCAAAAGACAACACTCAGGCACAAAATGCTTCAACAAGGCCAAACCTTTCCCGAAACAATTCACTAACATCCGACTAGCGCTTCAAGCTAAGTCACTACTCAACAACATAATTCCCAAAAAGGCAACCAAAACAAATCCTTTGTATAAATATATAAAAAAAAAAATCATTTTCTTGTTCATGAGACATTTCTCAAAGATAGTCAAATTTTCAACGTTGACATTCCGAAATAAATTTTGCACTTTCCAAGTGAAACTCAAAAGTTTTGTAAACATTTGTCACAAACATGATGCCACCCAATAAATATAATCATCTCCAGTTCATTTGCCAAAACTACTTGTTTGGAAATTCTCATAACATTCAAATTAAATCAAATCCTCAACATTTTCCTTTTGACAATGCCCTTAAAAGGCCATAACAACTAGGAAGAATTTATTGTCTATTCCTTTTTAAGATAACACTAGCAACATCCATCACTCACACGGTGATGCCACAGCCAACACATAACATAACATTTCTATAATAATAGTTAATAGAAATAAACACTTTGCTATCAATACATAAGGCATAAGAAATTCATGGTTTTGCAATTTCATTCCACCTTCCTTTACTTAACCAATTTAAAATCATAAACATGGCTTAGAACCTAACCGAACAATTTAAATGAGACTACATCTCATGCCAACAATACTCCAAACTGCCATTTCACGGAAATTGCGTCCGCAAGATTCGGCACCCATGTGTAACTATTTTCTTATGGCCATTTTACGGAAATTTCATCCGCGGGACTCGGCACCCATGTATGGATATTTTCGGATTGCCATTTTACGGAAATTTCATCCGCGGGATTCGGCACCCATGTATTCAAATACTTATCACATACAATGACTAATCAATACACAAATTTGTTGTATTATTCTAACCGTCAAATTCAATGACACATTCCGGGTGATTAGTTTCAGTTTTCCCTAATCAACCCACGATGACTACAACAATCAAGACTATCCTCAAGGTGACCAATGTCAACCCAAAATTCGATGCCAATAAGCTGACTAATCAACTCAACAAACCTCCACACTCAGTAAACCACACACTGATGTGCTTCTAAGGGAGTTATCATCCCCTTGCTTACATAGCAAGCGTGCCCATTTCCTCAACTTAAGACCGACATGGTCAACCTTAACCACACACTCCCAAACACGAAGGACAATTTTAACCAACGCTACTCTCGTTACCCGAGAACATAAACTGTTCTTCCTTTCAAAGAATGCTGCTATTATCCACTCAAGAAATTCTCTTTCCTCTCACAATCCACACCCAATAACCAATAACACCACTAACTCGTCTTACCCACATGGTCACCAACCGATAGCAAGCTCACAATATACATAATTGATGGGATCACAACGAACTCATTAACTAGTAACACCCAAAATACCAAACAATATGCCGGTACCATTCCTGCTAACCTGAGGTCTTCAACTCTACAACCAATCTTAATCTGCTGCTTGGACATCCGATCCTACACAGGACAGATAGAAGAAGAAAAGATAACATCAAACCGGAGGCATCAAGCTGATTGATAGATAATAAATTGACAGATAACTGAGGAACATAAAGAACGGATGGAATAGATACAGTAGACACAACATACGGTAAGACAGAGCCAACATATATAATAGACATACCAGACCCATTAGCAACATTAACAGTAATAAAATAGAAAAGAGTACAATTTTGAAGTAAGAAGAGATGGAGAGTTATATGATGAGAGGCACCGGAGTCAAAAATCCAGACAGACGAAGAGATACCTGAAGAAGATCCAAGCAAACCTGAATGAAGAGAGAAAACAACCGAAGCAGACAGGGTGGGCTAAGAGGTAGATAGAATATGCTGAAGTTGACTAATCTAAGTATTCAAGGAAGCCAAGTCAGGATCAGGAGCTGGAGCAGATGCAGTAGAATCGCCGGGAGGCTGAACAGTACTTAGAGAAGGGACGCAAAACTGGATCGGAAAAACGAGGCAGACACAGGTAAAGCAGACAAACATCACTTTTTGGGACAATAATACTTCCAATGGCCCCTCTGATGGCAGAAGGCACACTCATCTGATGCTAATGGCCCCTTCTTAGGCTTTGCTAGAGACTAAAGCTAATGGGTATCCGTCATTATGAGTATATTCGTAAACAATAACAATGAACACACTCATAATATTGGCAGTCAAATGAGTCCAACCAAAACTAGAGATACAAACTGTGGTCAAAACGTAATAAGAGATACTTCAGAACAAGTTAAAGGACCAAATAAAGAGATCACCCAAACAAAGAGATCACCGACTGAAGTCGAGAGAACCAAAAGAAGAGAGACAGACTAAGCTGTCAAAAGACGAAATCACTGCTACCACGTCGAACAAATGGGTCGACTAGATGTCGTCCAGAAAGAAGATGTCGAACCACGTCAGAGGTCGAGAGAAGAAATAGACCTAGGCAAACCAAAATCAAACAACTTCGATCGAGACCAACGAACTAGAATTAGAGACTAAAGGCTTCAATCGAACAGAAACAACGACCCACGATGAGTGTCAAGTCGCGTTTTTGAACTAGAGAGGGAGAGACGAGGGCCCTTTGCGATTAGGCCTAGAACAGAGAGTTGCGACTTCAGCCTAGAGATAAGAAGCTTTTGCAACTTCGTAGAACCACCAAGAGAACTTTGAACAACCTAGGGTTTTTGGCTCTGATATCATGTAAGTTTTCTGAATGAAATTGTATTTTTACTTGTGTAATAATACAAAGAATACATCTGATTATTAGTAAACCTAACCCCAAGACTAAAGGAAACACTGCCTAAAACACTGCCATATATATAAACCTAACCTAAAGGAAACACTGCCATATGTATACACTTGAAACACTGCCATATATACACACCTAAAACACTGCCATATATATATACCTATACAATCTCTCAGAAAAGGAAACATTGTCTAACCTAATATTCTCACATTTTGATCCACCAGTTTCTTAAAACTACCCCTCTAAAACCATGGATCATCAAGACAATCTATCCTATGGACACAAATTCTACCAAGCTACAGCTATCAACTCAGTTCTCACAAAATTCTTATTTGCCTTCACAGTCCAATCAACCTGAGTCATATTACTCCTAGGTCCTGCAATTAGCCTTCCACACATGAGAACCATCTTCGCTTCTTGTACCCATTTTGTGATCCCCTGTATTTTTTATTTTTTTTTTAATTCTCATATTTCATGGAAATAACATTCTTTCTAGTTAACGATTCATACAATATTCTAAAAAATTATGCTTTTGTCTTATCACGTGAAATTATCAATGTATAAGTGCATTGTATTGGCTTATGAATGAAGTTACATGGCAGGTATTGAAAATGGAGTGTCAAGTTTTGAACTTATTGGGTTTTCAATTATCTGTTCCGACCACAAAAAAATTCCTTAGGTACTTTGCATATCCACCATCCGCCATCTTTATCCCAACTACACCATCTGACTGAATTAAAGCTTCTAATTTACACTAATCACATACTGGTTTTCAGGAGATTCATCCAAGCATCACAAGTTTCTTACAAGGTATGTTAGATGGTGTTTACTGCCCCTTTTGACCTTCACTGACAATTCATGGCAAAGTACTCTAGCCCCTGTATCGAATTGCTTTGGTTTGCAGGTTCCTTGTGTTGAAATGGAATTCTTGGCAAATTATTTAGCAGAATTGACTCTTGTCGAGTATAGGTTCCTCAGGTTCTTTCCATCCTTAATAGCTGCATCGGCAGTATTCCTAGCCAGATGGATACTCAGTCAGTCAGATCACCCATGGGTCTGCATTGTTTGTGCCTCTTTAACTTTTAACTTTTTTCTTGCTCCCTTTCAACTACAGAAAGTGACTAAATACGGACTTTTTGCAGAATCTGACTCTAGAGCGCTATACCGGTTACGTGACATCAGATTTGAAAGGCACAGTTCTTGCTTTGCAAGAGCTGCAACTAAACACTGAAGGATGTTCACTTAATGCTATTCGTGAAAAGTATAGGCAACAGAAGGTAACAAATGTACTGGATTATATGACAACTCTTCTCTCTGTGTTCATTTGTTTGCTTTTTAGCAAGCATAGACCACATAAGCTTTCTAATTAGTGGTCATATGTGCCAATTATGTCTCTTAATTATGAACACCGCGATGTATCTTTGGATTTCAAAAGATTGAGCTAATATCACAGTGCACTAAATGTGTTTTAATTGTTACTTTTCTAAATGAAAAACGTTTGCTTCTAAATGGAAAATTGCAGCTGTGTTATGAACAGGAAATTTTTACAAAACGGTACACAAATATGTGGGACAAATGGTGTGTCCCACATGTGGGGTCACCATATGTGGGATTCATCATTTGTCTTGTAATTGTGTCTTATTTTGTGAAAATTTTCTGTGCATTTCGATTTACTAAGAAAATCTCTCCATTTGTTAGGCTTTTATATTTTGCCAAACATATGTCACGCTTTGTGTTTCTAAATTATATTGTCCTGTTAAAGACTTGAAGTTCCTCACCTTTTTTGGGGCAGCAAATGCTTCTTTTGCTGTATTTTTTTTTCTTTTCAATTTTTGGTCTTTAGGCCTCGTTTGGCAACAGACCGGTTTAGCTAAAAAGTCAAAAAGTTATTAAAAAAACCAAAAAGCCAGCAATTCATACTAAAAAGTCAAAGATTCTTTTTTCTCTCTATTTTTTGCACATCTTTTGTAAAAAGTCAAAAAGACATCCCAAACATATTAGTTTTTTTTAGCTCATATTTTAGCCAAATAGCCAAAAAGTTACCAAATTAGTCTGTTCCCAAACGAGGCCTTAGTATTTTTTGTCAAATTTTAAATAATTTTTTTAGTGTTTCTAGACTAGAAGACCCAAAAATTATTATTTAAAAAATCTACTAAACAAAGCCAAAAAAGTGGACTTTTTCCATTTAAAAATTTTGGGCTTCTAAGTCTAGAAGCACCTAAGAAGTAAAAAATTTAGTGAGAGATGTAGAAAAAGTTAACTGAATTAAACTTCATATTTGTAGAAATCCCCATTTTTATATATATATATATATATTGGTATTCAGTTGTGTTAACTGATAGAAAATGTGGGTATCATGACAGTTCAAGTCTGTGGCAACTCTAACTTCCCCAAAACGGGTTGAATCAGTCTTCTTAAAGTTCAACAACAGCTGATTCTTGTCCCAGAACTGCTCTTCACCTTCTGGTATTTCGTTGGCACTCGTGATGTCAGTCTTTGAATCTGCAGTTTAACCTCTGAATTTTCATTTTTTTTTTCTTTTTCTTTTTGTAAGTTCTTGTGGTTGTTGTGTTGTATCCAGTTTGGGTGCTCTACCGGACCGTATCCTCATATGGTGGAATTTGTAAAGTGGGAATAATTTGAGCAGTAAGTTCACAATTACATACAGTTACTGAGCATGTTTTGTAAACATTTGTAGTCTGTTGGGAGTAACTTAACATCAATCTATAACTATTTGATGGGTTGCAATCTTTTACGTATCTGAAGATGACATGTATGGAAAATCTTGATGAAATTTTATTTGCTAGATTTCCTTTGCATGATATCCATTGTTTTGTTCATGTTGATTGGGTATACTTGTGTTGATTGAGCCTTGAGATGCTTGAAACTTAGGTGTAGTTTGATATAGTTGTCAATTTCTTGTTTTCTGTTTTTTATAAACAGAAAAACAAAGAACAAGGTTTTGTTTTTTTGTTTTTTGGGTAAAGAACAAAAAAAAAGTTTGTTTGGAGTTCAAAAATATTTTGGAAAAAAAAAAAATGTTTAGTGAGCTGTCAGAGGCAGTGGGGGGTGGATGGATGTGGCGGTAAAATTTAGTCTTTAATTGTGTATCCTTTGTATTTTATATCATTATAATCATTTGTTTCATTTATCGTTGTCTTAAAACCTATATGTTTAGTGTATATCAAAACCTATATACTCATTAAGATCTTTTGACTATTGGTCATAATTAGGCATTTTTAAGTCTTTAAGATCATAAAGAGGTTTTAGACACCAGATAAATACATTAGGAGGGTCTTAGGTACTAACAACAATCTATAATGACAATTAACCCTGAAGATGTAATATGCTTTGAAAATACAAAAAATGACGTTAATAATAAATATAACCATAGTTTGCATATTACTAAAGAGTCTATAAATATAAATAGTGTGTGTTTTAATTTAAATAATATTATCGATATTATGTGCTCTTAGTTTTCTAAATTAGATAAAAATAAAAAATAAATCAAAATTATCTAGAAACTAAAGTTGAGTTTATAGAATTCAAAATAGACAATTTAGGTTCTATAATAACTATTGACTTAAACAAAGAAGCAAAAATCCAAATAAACAATTTTGTAACTCAATTAGAAGCCATATCCTTCATAAACAATGATGCAATGAATAGTCCAAAAGATAACTCCATTCCTAGGTTATTTTATGGTATAGAAGATATTTTGGTACTTCAAACTAGTTCTTATAATATGACTAAATATAAAAACATTGTTGAAATATTGGATTATTGGAAAAAAATTATATAAAGACCCAGATATAGGTATTGATGAAATAAATAGGCTACTAGATCAGATAAGAGAAACTTATTTAGAACATGAAGCCATTTGACAACACTTCAATTATGATATTAATATATCAACTAATGATGATGATAATCATTCTGATCTGAAGAAACAATAGATAAATAAATAAGGGAAAAGGAAAGGTAGAAGAGCCGAATGATCCCGAATTGTTTGGCATATAAGAAGATGGAGAAAATTGACTTTATTCAAACAAATGAAGTTAAAAATGATACTAATACTGGAAGTACCCCCAATCCTATACTTGAGCGAATAATATCTAAAAAAGATAATAATCACAAGTATCCAATAACTCAAAATGGTACTTATTTAGACTTGTTTCATGTTCCATTTAAGGATCAACCACAATCAATTGATGATTGAGCACAATCATTGTCCATTATTATTACCAATTATAAAAATAGTTGTTCAAAGAAAAAATTCCTTGATTATATTACAGCAACTCTTCAGGGAGATGTGTTGCAATGGTTCAGACAATGAGAAAAATCTGAAACTGAAAAAAGTCAAAAAACAGTTTTGTTGGCAATTTTTTTCACACTTGACACAATATTAGCTGAGTTTGTAAAAATCATAAAAGAAAATTTATATGGTTTTGTAGGAGATACTAATTTGCAAGAAGATGCAAATTATATTTTGACAAAATTAGAATTATGTAATGAGAGGGTAATTTTTGGTAAAAGTTGGGCCGAGCTGCGAGATGGACTTTATGGCCCAAAGTACGAAGGACCGGATAAAAAGGCCCAATGGAAATATGAAAGTTACTCTGGTCAGAGTGATGAAGTTACTCCGGCCCAGGAGAGATGTTGAGTTACTTCGGTCCGTGCAGCCTTTCTAGTTAGGCCGGTCTCAGAGATAGTCCGGTCATAAGGTATTCCGGGTAGATCGGTCGGAATGTTGCTACTCGGTAGAACGGTTCGAACACACCATGGTTCGTGTATGAGAGAACTGAGATATGGTGTAACATGAAGAACCGAACTACTGTTAGTACGGCCTACTCTGTGGCTTAGTATAGCCAGGCTTATCTCGGTCGTATGACAGTTCGGCCATGATGAAAACCATCCCACTTGGTTAAAGCAGTAGGGGGGGGGTGTAAAAGGATAAGCATTATCCTTAGGAGTATGAATCCTAGGAGGACTTTGCATGGAGGATTACAAGTCCTACTAGGGTTGTGCCACTCGAAACCTATAAAAGCTCACAAACATCACCTTGGAGGAGGAAACAGAACACAACACACAATTTTGCTTTCTGAAAACATAGAGCTTTGTCTATTTGTCAAGTTTACTGACTTAGGCATTGGAGAGGTTTCCGGCACACACCCGCCGGCTAGCTCACGTTTGTATTTTCAGGTGACAAAGCGACGCCGTACGGAGGAGCGTGGACTTGGTCAACAGGATTATACGAGAAGGCGTATTTCTTTCCCGTACAATTGGCGCCGTCTGTGGGAAAAACAGACAGAACGAAACCTCTTGACTAAGCTTCTCCTTTTCTCATTCAATGGCACACATTGAAGACTTGCCGCAGTCCGCCGTCAACAGACTAACTCCAGAAGGGGGTGCAAGGCGTGAAGGATTACCTTCTGTCCCTCCCATGGCGGACTTGGAGCCCCAAAGACATACCTCCAGGAGGGATGCTAGGGGAAGACGGACTCACAGCCCCCGTCAATCCCATTCTCAAAGTCCCGACAGAC